CCTGAAGCATGTGACAGGGAAGAAACACCAGCGCAGAGCAGTAGAAGCAGACATCACCTGAAGTGCTTTGTGCTGTACTGCTGAGGGAAACATTGTAGTTGGAGGCACGAATGGATGACCAGGCACTAGTTGAAGGCAGCGTGGTGTTCAGAGATGAGGATGACCCTGTAATGAAGGCAGAAGTCGGTCACAGCACAGTGCATCACAAATGCAGTAACATTAAAAGGCACGGCTTGTAGTCCAGACTGAGCACATCTGCACCGTCAGCCGAGGGACCTCCTCCGCTCTGCTCAGTCCTCATCCTTCATCCAAAGGCACGTGGTGCCCAGCACGCTCAGCAGTGGGAGGCACCCGGCACGCTCCGCAAGCAAAGCTGGTCACCTTACTGCCACGGCCGGGTGGCCGCGTTCTGCTTGCCTACTTTCAAACACTCTGCCTCTCCGCAGAGTTCCAGCGGAACGCAGACCAGCAGCATTCGCTCGCTCTACCCACATTCTTGGAATGCGTGTTGCATTGCATCAAGTAGCAGTGCTGGAGCCAAAGATGAGCTTTTTGGCTGCGAAACCCACAGTACAAAACACAAACACGGAGATGAGCAAGTAGCAAAACACATCTCCAAGTAAACAGTCTCTCTGTGTGCCTGAAGGAAGATCAGTACACAGTCAGAAACCGGAGCATCTGAACATACCACTGTTCCTGTCCCTGAGGTGGTCAACTTCCCGCACAGTATTAATTGAAAGATTGTTTATGACACTGCCAGGAGTGACGTAAGGGTCAGTTTCAGGGTCGATGTTTGGATAACCTTTCCATGGCTCACCAGGACGAAACTCTAGGAACAGAGATTCAGAAAAAAGCTTATTTTGATTTTTTTTTTTTATCAGGAAATAGCTGTACATCTCTTAACATACATCTCTTAGTGACTGAAAATCCAAAACCTTTTAAACATTCAATTTACTTAATTTAGTCTTCTTTTGACTTTATTCACTTCATTTCCAGATTTTCTAGCCCTGTCTCACCAGGGTGAAATCTCAAAGCAGGGAGACAGGCTTCTCTTTGTACAGTAAAGCTGCTGCTCTCCATTTCAGTCTGCTAAACACACACCTGGATGGCCTTCCTGCAGGCTGCGTCCCTGACCCTCCACGCGTAAGGACCGAGGACCACAGAAGAAAGAGCTGAGCAGTAAGAACCGAGCCCAGAGGCTGCTGGGGCTGCGTACCTGGAGGCCAGTTAACACTGCTAGAGCCGTTAGGCGATTTGGCACGGGGCCAGCCGTCCCCAATGGATCCAGGAGGACTGGCTGGTGAATTACTGCTGTTCATAAAGTCATATGGAACAAACGGAGACTCTTCCAGCCTAAAACCACTTGAAATAGCACCTAATTAGAAAAAAGAAAAAAGTCATCAAATATTTTTCATAGCAAATGTTTATTTTTTTATATACCTGTATATATATAAACATGCCCACATAAAGTGTTCATGAAATACAGGGCAGAATACTGTCCTCTTATGATGTCAAGTCACACAGCATTATATACTCTAAAATTAAATGTCTCTGAATAATTCAGGAGAAAACCGTAAGAATAATCTCCCATGAAATAACTTAATTAAAATAGTACACTTATTAAATTTAAGTAAAATATTAATTTAAGAGGGTAAGAGCATTCTGTGAGACCCCAGCTGGATAACAGGGGCAGTGAATGTACTCTGTGATGGGAGGGCTCTTGGAAGAAACATCTACAAAATCTGAAGGATCTTTAGCTATTGCAAAGCTCTGCAAATTCTACTCATATTCCTGGGAGAGGGAAAAAAAAATGTAAAAAATAAAAATCACTGGAGGCAGAGCAAGGAACGAAAGCATTGTACAGGATCTATTGGCTTCTGTGCTAGCCCTGTAAGAAGAAGTTTAACAGTCATCACATTTAACAGTCATCACACAGCAAAGCCAAAGATACTGCACAGTTCTAAAGGAATAAATGACTTTTAGTAGTGATCCAGTGCAATATGGAGCTCAAATAACCAAACTCCTACTGCCACAGCAACACCGACACTTCTGCTCGGCGCTGAGAGCCGAGGACGCCCAAGGTGCAGTAGCAGCGCACCTCCACTAGATGCTTAAGGCAGCAAGACATCTATTTCATAGGAGTGAAACAGCTGGCAAATCCAAAAATATCCAAACAATCTGAAGACTGAACAGTAACAGGAGACTGGAGACACGCTGTAACTATCTTTAGACACAGAACCTTTGTGCTATAGACTAAATTTTAACTGGATGAGATGTGAAGCAACAGAAATGTCATGAATCCTGATTATTGGAATGAAATACAAAGCAACCAAGTCCATCTCCTCTTAAACTAGGTACAGCAATGCTAATAGGCTATCCCTTCTATGCTCTCCCCATTTTTAGAATGCAAACATACACAATGATAATCAAAACCTGGAACTAAAAATGTCAGACATGACCAGGATGTGCACACAGAGTTAAATCCCCATCAACCACCTTAAGGCCAGCAGGGCAGGGGAAAGAAACCTAGAAAATCTAAAGCTTTTGGTTTAAACATGTATGAAACATTCCAATCCAGATTCAGGTAAAGGTAGCAATAGTCATTCTTAGAGAAAAGTCTGGTTAAAAAAGGAATTCCGTACAACGTTTCTACTAAATACCATATCAAGATCACTTGCGCAAAGTAAAAACACCCAGAAAGGTATCAGCTGCTGCAGAAGCCAAGCAGCAAGTTAGGCACAGACAATGCAACACCAATTCTGACAGCTACAAGCAACACGGCAGTTACAACCACAGGCCTACACACAGCAAACCTGCATTTTACACCCAGAACACGAAAACCTGATGTGTAATGTCAAACACTGCTCAACGACACGGTGAACATACCATGTTTGCTGGAGTTTTGATCCAACGATGTGTTCACAGAAATGCTGTCTACTGTAGTCCATTTCCTCAGTCGGGATTGTGGCTCTTTAATACTGCTCATATCCATGTTTACATTCAAGTTTGAGTTCATTCCTAAAAACATACAGAGCTTATGAAATACAGATTAAATGTTTTTCTTCTGCTAATTACCCCTACTGCCCTAATAAACATTTAAGAGCATATTACTGTGGGTATTTCATGCTTCCAAGTCTCCGTTTTTGAGAAGCCTTCTAGCGTTCGATACAGTGAACTTACTACAGACAGAAGCTAAGCGATGCAAAGCACTCTGAACTTCTCAGCTGATGTCTTCATGCAAAAATGTCAGTGGAAAAAGCCATCACGAAGTTAGAGAAACCAAAATGTAAACATCTAAAACCCGTGGCATTTCTGACACCAGCCTAGCGCCAGCACATGACGGATCTCACCTGTACAACGCACAGGCACTGGAGTTTGAACACCTACGCCAAGGTATAAAAGACACTTTTCTCAGCAGGAGAAAACTCTTCCTATTCAGCCAAAGTTAGGTACTGGTACCTGCAGCTACAACCTCATTCCTGTTCTTTTCTGGGCTGTTGACAGGACCCCTCACCAGCGCCTGAACCCCACCGCCCCAGACACAAGCCCTTTGCACCGACCTGCACCAGTATACCATCCCCTTCTCCTGTTCACACTGAATATTAAAACCGCAGCAAGAGAAAAACAAAACTTGCCTTTGCCTGTTCTAAGCTGTTGTCTGTATTTCAAAGCATTTATCTGCCAGAGAATCGACACAACACCAACCCACATGGGTCCAAATTCCTGCAAGAACCAGCTGCTCTGGGCTTGGACAATGTGCCCACAACTCTGACCTTGGCATACCTGCTCTCTCCGGGACTACGAGAATCCTTCATTCACAGCCATACCTGCATTACATTTCCAGCCCTTCAGACCTATTCACTTGATATCTGAAAATAAACCACTGCACCATTTTATCTGAGGGCCAGGGACACACAGGGAACTTCTCAAATCTTTACTGGAAGCACCTTCATTCAGCACTGGAAACTAGTGCTGCATTTTGTTCCTAAGTCGATATTCACTGGCATACAAAAGCTGGTTTGGGTTTTTCTGGTTGGTTGGTTGTTTTTTTTCATTTGTTTTCCTTAAAGGCATGAGCAGATGTTGATGCCAGAAAAGCAGCCCTTTGAAAAGCCTCCAGAGAAAGCGCCTTGTAACAGGACAGCCAAGTTTTAAGAAACAGAACAACTACCAACAGCTGAAAGAGAAAAAAGGGACAGGACAGTCCCACCAGTCCAGTTTCTGACATCCCTCCCTCCAGCGTTTTGCTGTTGTTAGAGCAACAACCTCTGCACAACCGTAACCTTTCTTCTAACTCTGAAGAAGCCTGTAGAAGACAGACCTCTAAAAGGAGGGTTAGAAAGATGACGAGCTGGCGAACAGGCACACCGGGCTGCTGAGGTCACTGCCAGCCCCTTGGCAGGCACAGATCCACGTCCATAGCTCTGTGTTTGAAACCTGTGGACTGAGGGATGAACACCGGTCCCTGGACATAATCTGTAATTCAAACAGGCTGCCCAAAAGTAATTTTTCACATCCAGTTGCGGAAGATTTTATATTGTTCAGCTATACTCACTCTTCGGCAGAAAAAGGTATTTTTAATATTAGAAAGGCTTAATTCTATAAATGAACCAGGACATGACTGCAGCACTGGTCAACTAGAAAGGACACCCCTCACTCACCCTCAATCTCTGCTTTTAAGGAACAAATATCTAGTGAATCTCGACAAATTCACTTCCACGGAAGGTAAACAGGACCTCCCTGTTTTCGCTGCTGGGTCTCCTGACACTAATATTAGAACACAGAGAAAAGAACATACCTGCAGGATTGTCCAGAAGATAACTTGGCAAGTTCAGCTCCTTCTCACATGACTACGCTACTATACTTTCAACACTTGGAAGATGCTACCAATACTCCTCTTGACTCGATTTTTCACTAAACGGTGAAGAAATTACAGAACCTACTATTTCCACCCTTAAGCTTTTATTTGCAGACGGAGTGTGGCTCCACGTGTTTATATCACTATACAGCACCACTCCAAGGGATCCCAAAGAATTCTTACGTATACTGCAGCAGAGTCCCGAGGGATCCCAAAGCAATCTTACATACACTGCAGGTTCCTGAAACGTGGCAACGATTAAGGTGAGAAAACAGCTACTTAGCAACAGTATACAACAACTCAACTCAAGAAATGAAAGAGGAAGGAACCTAACGTAGGCAGGATGGAACTGCTCAGCACAAAGTTTGGCAAGAATTTTAAATATTCCTGCCATTAGACCTAACTTAGTGTCTCTAACAGCTTTTATGCCTTGCCCTTTGAATGGAAGCAGTAGTTAGATCTTGATGCCAATCGTAAGCAGCAACTATTAAGCAGCAGCCTGGACTTAAGACTGGCCAGAAGCGAAAGTGCAGTGTGCCACATGCAGTGCAACAGCGTGGCCTGCACCGCCCCGCTGGCTCCATGACACTCCACCTAGAAGCAGAGGATTGCAGCAGCAGTCTTCATCAAACAAACTGTTCTAGAAAGGGCAATGAGAATGCAAAGGAAATCAGCCCAACAGAAATCACCGCATTAGAATAATGTAGAAGAAAAGAAAACTGAAGAGGAGGAAAAGTCAGGAATAAGGAACAAGAGGTAAATGGTATACAGTTGTAGTAAGTGCAAGATAGCATTAAAAAGGGACCTAAAGTAAGGAGAAAATATACAAGCCTGGAATTTCTGAAGCAGAAATTGGACAGAAGCCTGGAAACGTAGGGAGAAAGAAACAGGAGATGTTTGTATTTATAAATGTTCGGACATTTTGCCTGAAATAAGACAACCGTTCTTTAAAAATGCAGAGCTAAAAGTTTTTTTTCTGCGCAAAACCATTAAAAGGGAAATCAACATTTTGTTCTACCAATGCAATTCCAGATTCACTGAAAATGTTTTTTCAATCCAAAGAAATGACACTGCATCAATGGATTCTTCGTATGGATTCTGCTTCTAAAAGTCCTTTAGCTCCAGGGATCATAACTAGAAAAGGACTTTGTGTCACCCTTGGGACCCAGAGGATAAAAAAAGAAATAAAAGGAGACAGACATTCTTTAAGAATGCAAAGCATTTTGCACTGAAATACAGCCAGTCCCTTCTGGGAACGAGTGTACCAGAGAATAAAGTTCTCTGGTGAACAAAGATAACTGGGCAGGACCCACAAAGAACAGCTACTTCCATTGAAATCCCAAGTGCTAACAGGATTACCACCACTATTGTTTTCCCAGGAGGCAGGCAAGGTGGGAAGGAAGGCCGCGGGTCACACAAGCACTAACTGACTGTATGAAATGAGCACGGTTAAACCCACCTAGAGGGAAGCTGCTGAATGCATTGATTGGCGAGGGCCCCTTCTGCAGCTCAGGAGTAGCGTGGGGTATGACATTCTCAAGGAAGGATTTCATGGTGGGTTGATGGAGTGACTGCTGTTGAGAGGGTGGAGTTTGCTGCTTCATTAACAGGTTTGGATCAAGCTGACGGGACTGTTGCATCATCTGTTGCTGCATACTAAGAGATCGACCCTTAAAAAAACAGAGCAGTTAATATATAAATAGGCAAAAGTTTCTCCACCTTTAAAGAAAGACAATGAAACGCATCTTTGGGTTCTGTGCATCTCAGCACAGCAAAACCCCAGCATTAAGCCAAGTCACTCCTTTAACGCTTGTCACGATCCCATTCACTCTTGCACACTTTAATACAGCTTATAACAAGAAATGCAGCTCAGGACAAAAAGAGAGTCTTTAAAGATAGTTTGAAAAGTTAATAATAAACGTATTTATTTACCTGCTGCTCCTGCTGTTGACGACCACCAGAAGGCATGCTTCTTTGATTCTGCGCTTTTTGCTGCTGAGCCAACAACCGCTAGGAGACAGTGTTTTGTGTTGTTTTTTGGTTTTTTTTTTTTTTTTTTATTAAGAACAGTTTATAGCTGACTAAGTCTCTACTTAGACTTTCAAACACAACAGAGAGCAACTAGCTTTGTTAGCTTACCTGTAACTGGGAGATCTGAGAAAGCTGGTTTAACTGGGACAGTTGATTCAACATGGCTACCTGTTGTGGGCCAAAAAGTGGGCTCAGGCCACCGTTGTTTGGTGCATACTTCAGTAATGATACTGGAACCTGCAAAAGGGACCAGGATGAAGAGTGACTGACAGTAATGCACAGTTACTTACACCAGATGTAGAATATTATGAACTCTGGTTAACAGCTTCCAAGTTTCTGAAACATTGATCAAGCCAAATATGTTTTCAAATATTTATAGAATAAGTATCAGCAACACCAATAAACAAAGAACAATTTTCTGAAGCAGCATTTTGTCAATTTACGCACAGAATGTTCTGTGTAGACAGTTACCTGAGGGGATAGTAATGGAGGAGGCACTTGAGCACGTGGATTAGGCTGAGATGAATTAAGAGGTTGTGCTGGAGGCTGCTGCATGCTCCTGGGCTGTGCTGCTATATTACCAACACCAAACATACTGGGATTGCCATTCTGGGGAAAGGAGGGACAGTTAGTGACAGTGAACCTCTTCCGCTGCTTCTCCCACCCCTATACATGTGAATTAGAAGTTAAACACACATCAATGACATAGGTAGCTAAGATGTTACATCACAAGGTATCAAATGCTGTCAAGTAACATGCCAAGGATATGCACACAGCCTTACCTGTCTAACAGAATTCAAGTTTTGCATACCCAGCCCTGCTAGGGAGCCAAGGGCTTGGTTAGGTAGTGCATTATTTGAAGGGGGAAGCTTCATGTTTTGATTGGACATAAACTGCATGTTTTGGGACTCGTCTGCTACAATGCCATCCTGATGGGACAGACAAACCGATGCGCAACACCCAGCCAGCAAGCAAGCAGAGGGAGAAACCATTGGCAGGAACAGAAGGGAGGAGTCACACGACAGTCCAGCACCAGCAGGAAACAGGCAGAAAACAAAAGAGATCAGGTTAGTTATTCGCACTGCAAACGGGCTGCAGAAAGTGCTTAGTACTATATATAAGTTAAAAAGAACAAAACATATCTTATGGATTAACAAGAAAGCTCTACTCTTCCTCTCCACTAAGTGCAGAAAGCTAAGGAGCACACAGATAACTACTTAGAACGCAGAGTCAAAGAAGTTTAGAGGTGTCCACCAGCAAGACACCTGCTAACCTTATCAAAGTAAGGACCGCGATCCATGGAAGACTCTTTGGAAATTTGAGGACGAGAACCAGGGCCTTTTCCAACCACACGATTGTAATCTCCAACGCCGAGGCCATGCTTATCCATCTCCATCCGCTTATCTTGCAGTAAGCCTACGGAAAGGGGAGAGATGTGACTACAACATCAAAGACTGTTCAGTTTTCCAGATACACTACAAACCAGTTCATGCTTATGAAGGGCTGCACTCACACTTTCGCATACAAAAGAAAACATCGGTTTAGCTTTCAGCTCTCTGCAAAGGGAAGGGAAACACTGTGAATCGATGGCTACAGACAACTTAAAACTTGGAATCAGCAAAGTGTCAACAGATCCTTCTAGGCTTCACAAAAATAATCTTCTCAGTTTTCTCTTACAAACAAGAAAGTATAACTGTTTAAACTTTAGTTTCCAATTGTGAATGCCACTTTCTATTCTTAGCAGCAAGAACCATTTTCTTGGCTCTGAAGTAGTATCTTTAATAATTCCCTAAATTTGTGAATATTTCAGAGGCCATTTAATAGGATTCAGTTAAGAAAAAAACCTATTTAGCTTTAAGAAAACCCCCACAAATTTAAGGTATTTGTGTTTATTAAAAGCAAATTTTAAGTTTTCTTTTATCATTAATTCCACTGGGCAAACCAGAAGATCAAGATATAACCAGTAGTAAAGGAGTCCATTTAATACTCCACTGCATGCAGTGCAAGAGAATTCCTTTCCAAGTGGATGTTTTAAAATCAAATTTAAAAAATGGAAATAATTTAAGTATGAGGCTTGCCATTGATATTAAAACCTAAAATTCAAAGAACTTCTTTACACAATAGACTATGAACCCAAAAGTGAAAATATCCAACTTTAAACTAGAACAGAAAGAATGCAACTGCAATAAAAAACTACAATGCTACAGTTACTTTTAATTAAACATTCTATCAAAATAATACATTAATTCTTAATACATCAACATACTATCATAACAGTCAATGGATTCAAATAAAAATAAAACTGCTCACAAGTCATTTTACGCTCAGGTTTAAACATTTCTAAAGTATTTGTTCAGTATTAATTTAGTTCTTATAACTGCAGATGTGTTTCCAAGAATGAACCACAACGAGCAAGTGTGGTATTCAGAACATTCCTGTTTATATTTAGTGAAGGTATCCAGAAAGCAACCTAGATACTTACACGACAAGAAACAAACCCATCACACCCTGAGAACATCTTTCATATCAGCTTAATGCAAGCTTAGCTTGATTTCTGGATCACATCACTACAGCAGCCAGGTGATGTAACATATGTAGTGTTACTCACATGTACAATTTTTTTTTCCTCTACAAGAGCATTCCTTTTCTTTAGGAAAACAGATATTTAACTATATATATATATGTATATAACTATAACTATATATATTAAGTTTTAAAAAAGTAATTTACAGAAGGAATGTAAACTGAGACTAGAAAGGAAAGTAGTAAATCCCAGATGGGTTTCCCTACTCGTACCTCCAGACATGTCCATCTTATTGCTCTGTATGGTTTCTTCTGGTGATTCTCTCTGAAGTAATAAAATGAATCATAATTATTAAACAATATTTTCAAAAGCTAAACCAAAAAGATTCATACATACTATTTCAATTCAAACCTACAAGAAAAAAAAAAAAGATCAAGACAAACGAGATGCTATTTTAAAGCATTTTCTCCCTGTAGTTGTTACCCAGTTGACAACAGGTGTCTTCACCAGAACACACAAGCACTAGTAAGTACAACAGCAGGCTACTGAGTGCCTGGGTAGTGTTCACACAACCACCTTCCATCAATAAATAGGTCTTTTTGTAATGAGGATACAAACAAGAGGGATGGGTGATAGAGGGCAGACCAGCAGAAATAAAAAGAAAAATACCATGAGAATGAACCCAGGGTAATTTAGGTATTTGAACCTTTGTGCGTTGTAATAGCACTCTGAGACGGCAGTAAAGCGGGGTGAAGGTAAATACTTACTGAAAAACTGAGATTTGTGAATTGCTTAATGAATGGATTGATCCATGCTTCATCTTGCTTATTTCCACCTTTCATTATTCCCTTAAAAATAGAAAGGAATCCCTGTGACACTCAGAAGATGTTTACCACCTACTGCTTAAATTACATCATAAGATGTTATGAATGAAGATTAAAGCTTAACAGTACTCCACTGCGAGCAGCAATCTGTTCTGACTTAGCTTTTAGAAATTACAACAGTGCAAAAACCTTGACTCAGCCGCCTCTGGGAATTATTTTACACAACGGGAAAGCAGCAGCGCTTGGAACCTCACCACTTTTTTCCACAGCCAGCTTGCACTCTTACGTGTGCGCCCCAACATAAGCCAGAATTACCTTTGTGGGCATTTTTTTCATATATGGTGGCCAATTCAAAGATGGGTTAGCTTCTTGTGAAGAAGTGCTGTTCCACATTCCAATCTCTACATCCTCCTCTTCCTCCCAGCTGGTCTGACGACTGCCTGTCAAGGGCATATCATCTCCACACCAACTATCTTGCATAGATTTGGGCCCTGGTTGGGAGAAACATCCAGCAGGTTAACACTGCAGTAGGAACAGACTGCCCTTAACACACAAGTCAGCTTCACGTTTACTTCAAGATTAAAAATCCTTCACCAATGTAAAGCTTCTACAGAGGTATTCCACCTTCCTCAAACCCCTTTATTCCAAGATGACACCGAAAGCACTCACCAGGTTTATTTGAAGCCTGTTGACCAAGAGAAGTGTTTCCCCAGCCAGAGGTGCCTGCTGCATCGCTGATGGGTTCTCCCCAGCTAGTACCAGTATCCATGGGTTTACCCCACGCTGAAGTTCCATTATCTACAGTAGTGGCTGGAGTAGAAGGCTCTCCCCAACCTTTTTAAAGCAGTATGAGTTATTGGCATGTTTTTAAACAGGATCTTAAAAGCTAAAGAGACTCAAGTCTTTTGCCTTTCTAGACCCACAGCATACAATAAAAAGCATATTAGAGCACATTTACATTTTGTATGAAGATAATCATTACAACTGTAAGCTGTTCCATAAAGAAAAAAAAAAAAATCACAAAAATACAAGTGTCCTATGTAAAGAATTACATTTTGATAACAGGAATTTCCAAGTTATTCAGTTCCTAAGAGCTGCTCACTATATTTAAGCTACTCCTCTTTGCACTTGAAAAAGAGACAGAGCACAAAATGCTCCATAAGCACCAGGCAAGCTCATCTGCTAGTATCGTTATCCACTGCTCCCAAAACTACAAGGATCAGAAAGTCTGATCTTGAGTCTGTATAAAACCATCACCCTTAATTCTGTCTTGCAGCATCTCAACACTTTTTCGGGAGAGTTCTTTGGCAACACTGGTTTTAGAATCAAATTAAGAAAAATACTTTTGTTCCTTGGATACTATTTTAAATACTTTCTGTGTTCCCACACCTCAGAATTCAAGTAGAGCTGTCTAGTATTTATTACTCAAGCTATTTAAAACTAGAACAGATCTTACAATCTCTATAAAAATATCATATCGTATGTCTATGAGCATTGCTGTTACTTTTTTTTTTAGACATAAAAATGGTACTTCACTGGCACTTTCCCCTTTCCACTTTGAAACTAAAATATTGTTATATGAAGCAAGAACAAAAGAATTGTTTTACAATTAGCAGAAAACACAAATTTGCATAAAACCAAGTCTTACCAGAACCCGAACTGCTCTCCTTGCTAGACATGGCACTTGAAGACAGTAGCTGCTGATGTACCTGTGCTTGCTGGTCTGAACTGCTGCTACTGTTTGGGACATTTTTATTCCACATATTCACATTTTTGTAGTTGTACTTGCTTGGATCACCCCAAGCAGAAGTTCCATCATCAATTTCCATTTTACGGCGTATAGATTCAGGGGACGGCTCTTCCCAGCCAGTGGGTTCTTCCTCCTTTGCTGGTGCTGGCATCGGTCCACCCAGCCAGCCTGACCCTGGGGGTTTGGTTGCGGCAGATGGTGCTCCCCAAGAGCCAACGTCTTGTTTGTTCCATTCTGGAGCGTTGATTGGCTTTGAGGAATCCCCCCAACCTTGAGGCTGATTGGGTTTAGGAGGGTCTCCCCAGCCCTGGTTCTGATTAGACTTTGCAGGCTCATCCCATCCCGAAGAGTTATTTGGGTTTGTATTACTACCTCCCCAAGAGACAGAATTTGATTTACCTGGCTCATTCCAACCAGACACCGATCTGTCACTGTCGCTGCCTCCCGAACTGGATTTCTTAGCCTCACCCCAATGGTTACTTCTTGAATTTTCACCCCAGCTATCACCGGCAGAAACCGCCCAACCCTGGCTGGCCTTTTGTCCATCTACCCATCCCTGTTTGATCTTCTGTGCGTCATTCCAAGATGACTTTTCCTCTTTGCCACTTCCCCATGATTGATTGCTCTTGACCATTACTGTAGCAGCAGAATCTTCTTCCCACCCCCCTTGGCTGTTTGACCCTTTGGAGTCTCCCCACCTTGTAGCAGACTTTGGATCTCCCCACCCTGATACAGATGAGGTATCATTATTACTAGGGCTAGGTCTATCCACACACCCCCCTGAGCTGGAAGTCTGTGTCACAGAGCCTCCCCAGGCCTCTGTCCCATTGTCAGTTTTTCTTTCACCCCTTGGTGATGTTTCGGTATCCCAGGCAGTGTTCTGTTTGATTGGAGTCTGTCCCCAACCAGAGTTGGAAAGGACACGCGGATCTAAGTCAGTTCTGTTCACTATACTTTGGAGTAACGCATGCTGGTCAACCTTCCTTCTCTCGCGATTCTGTCCTTCCGTAGTCACTCTGTCTTCGTGGCATCCAGTACTCTCCAAACTACCTTCACTGTCGCCCGTACCTGTTTTGGCCCATGCGCTGTTCTGCTCAGTTATCTGAGAAGCAGGAGAGCTCTGGCTGTTAAGGTCATCCTCCTCAGTAGATTTCCATCCGTTTGTAAACTTCCTGCTGCTTCCGTTCAGGCTTTCATTGGAATGCTGATTACTCGGCAGTTTACTCCACTCTCCATTTGAAATGTTAGTGCCAGTGTTTTGTGCAGGGTTGCCCCACCCTCTTCGACTCCCGCCAGCACTTGCACCGCTTCCGCTTCCCCACGGCATGTTCTGGGAGCTGACTGTCCCTGTCTCCCACACCCCTCCTCCTTTATTCCCGTTGATTTGAAAGTTAGTGCTGCCAGGCCCGCTAATGCCTGGCTGCATTAGAGTTGCATTCACAGTGTCACCATTAGCTTGGCTGTTTGGGCCTGAACATTTGTCTCCAGAGTAATTAGAACCATAGGCACCCCATGTAGTACCGTAAGAGCCACCATTTTTCGCCTCACCATTGCTAAGATGAGAAATGGAGGTGCCGTTTGTAACTGGAGAGGCCTGAATCTGAGAATGATTCATTGTGCTCACGCGCCAGGCCCCATGCCCTGTATTATTAGGCAGTTCGTTAATCTGCACTGAACCAGCAGAGTTTGGTAAACTAGAGGTCATAAAGTTAGTAGTGTTATTTGGTCCATTCATTTCAGTGTTAAGGTTTTGAGGTTGCCCACTGAATGAAACCTTCCTTGTACCATTGACTTCAGAATCGCAGTTTTCCTGAAGGCTTCCCCAGGAACCATGGGCTGAAGCACCCACTTTAGAGTTAATACTCTGACTGTTGGACATCTGACCTATGGTACTGCACGGGATATTTGTGCCAGGATTACCACTCCCTACAGACCCTTTCAGGGCATGTCCATTGTTCTCCAATACAGGCCAGGCACCATGGTTGCCATTTGAATTCAAAGTGCTTGGATTTAACCCTCCATTTGATGAAGAGTTTATGGTGCCCCAAGCATTCATTCTATTGTTGCTACTTTCAGATTTGCTGTCAGGAGCATCCACAGAAACTTGACATGTGCTTATTATGGTTCCATGGGATAAACCCCACGGCCCATTAATACTTCCATTGCCCACATTATTGCTGTTGCTACCAACCACAAACTTATTTTGAGAACCATGTCCAATGCCATTTCGAATGCCATCGTTTTCACCACCTGTGCTCCCTGAAGCCATTATAACGAGGTTTCTCTCTGACCCAGAGCTAGAGGCAGAGTCAGTGTCCATACATTCTGATGTCAGCTCTGGGTCACTGCCAGTGATTGATGGCCATGCTTCTTTGTCAGAGCCGTCTACAATAACTTTATCCCAGTTTGTGCTGGAGTCACTATTTGAAGACACTGGTCCCCAGTGAGAATTTTCATAATGGGATCCTAGACCACTGTGATTCAGATCTAAAGGGAAGAAGGAAAGTCCAAGAGCATTATTATAAATTTAGTACTATTACTTCATTAAGAAGATGAAAAAAAAGTACAAAGATACTAAGCCAAGAATTATTTTGCTTACTTTAACCCTACAGTCGCTGGAGATGACAGAGAAAGCCTCCCAGCACAGCTGCTCAGAACACTGCCACACACATCACCTAGAACGCTTCTCCCCAGCATGCAGAGCTGCACTCTCACAAAAAGCACAAAGCAGCACTCCTAAGGGCACAGTTCTTCTTTTCCAGAGAAACAGGTTTTTAAAAAATACTCTGTATCACCATATACAAAGTATTTTTAAAAACATACATACTGAAAACTGTAGTACTACATAAAATCATTCTGGAAAGCAGAAATCTAAACAGGATATTAAACTGACCTCGTAGTACCAACTGCTATGTGACAACAGCCAGAGAAACACACACCTTCCCTTCCCACCCCCATTAAAAGACATTCTATAAGAATTCTTAAGGACAAGTTATTTAAGATATTTTCTTTTATACAATCTGAAACATAAACCACAAGACCCATCTAAAGCTCTCCTGCTGGGGGAGTACAGATTAAGCACAGTAGATGAACTGATACTTCTAACTTTCATTTATATAAGAACTATTGCTTCCTTTTAAAAAAACAAGCTGATCATGCCTGGGAATCAAGACGACAAACATCCCAAGTTGCTTACAAACTTTTCAGGTTACAGACATGCACATCAATAAGTGCTATCAATTTCAGTCTCGTATGTCTGAAGCTTTACTGCAGAGCCCCCCCACTGTTAAATCCAAACACAGTCACCCAGGTGCACCCGAAGATGAAACTGTGAAAGCGTGAAGCATGTGACAAACAGTAATGAAGCTGGCAGCAGAACACAAGTACAAAACCTCTGTGAAGTTTTTTTTACTATTTGCCTGCACTGAAAGAATAACCATTGAGCTAGACACTGAATTGAGCTAAAGACCCTGCTTCTGAGAGACCTCAGAGCAGCCCAGAGCCAGCATCAGCCACTGCTCCTCCAGCAACCAGGCCGGTGGAAGCTTGAGAGAGTCCAAGCAATCAGCCCAGCTTCACACGGTAACTCCAACAGGAGCGCCGGGGATGCTGGCACGGCAGATGAGAACAGGGAGTCGTGGAGAAAGGGCTGTGGCGGGCAGAAATAGCACTGCCATAGTCAGAAGCGCCTGGCAGCTCCAGGGTCTGGGAGAACCACGCAGCATCCTTGGGAGAAATGGAAGACATTCGTTCAGCTGAGCACAACCCAGAACCTGCCTATTAATGTGTTACTGGAAAACACTGTAGGATCTGAGCAAGTGTCCAAGAAAACCCAAGACTTCAAATCTCACACTGATACTTGAAAAAAAAGACACTTAACCTGTATTAAAAGACCAAAGTTAGAGTTGTCTGTGCTCTCATGAACGAGAGAATCAACAGCATCAAAAGCTGCCCCAACAAAACAAAGTCCTGGTTACCTAAACAACATCCCAATAACATGACCTATTTTAAAAACCAACATGAAAGTATACAGAGGGCAAACAGCCTGAATTCAGCGTGGAGAAACAGATACAGGCTATGACTCCAGGCCAGCGTGAAATGGTAAACGAACACCGATTTGCACAACAACAGAACACAGAAAGTTTCTGTTTACTAAGATCCTATTATACTAATTTCGATGCGATGCACAGTTTGTAACGAGCCAATGCACAAAGAGCATTTAATGATTAATTTCCAGTCATCCCGAATTTTATCCTACAACATACAAAGCTGTCTTGAGTAACAGTCTTTCTCCTGGACACAAATGTGTGTGAGTGATTTCTGGTATAAGCCACTGTTCTGAAATATTCCTGTCTGAATCTCCACAGCCCATAACTTCTAAGATTAAGTACACAAACACTGAATAAGCAAGGTATTGTCTTTGAGTTTTCCTGTCTGGCAGATACCACAAAAACATCCTCAAAATTGTAAAGTTCCAGCTGACAACATACTACATGTGGTGCACAGCAAAATGAGCCAGTAACAGCCTACTCTTGGTTTCCTCCCCGAAACTATTAAGAGGTTGCAACTGAACTTTTGCTGCTTAAATCCTGGATTAAAAAAAAACAACCTTACACAAACTTGAGTTTCTTAAAATTCTGTAATGTGCTAAAATTGTTTTCAACAATCTGTAATTCAGTAATTTAATGCTTTCTAGCTATGAGTTACTCCTGCAGGAAATGTTTGTAGGAAACTGTTTGTATTTTCTAAAGTAGTTTGTTTGTTTTAAAGTACCACCACATGGTCTAAAATAAACAGTAGGACTGAGAAGCATAAACTAAGAAATACCTGAGTCTTGCTCCCTCTTGTCTCCCTTTCCAGTCCCAGTACATACTGGTACCCAGGGACTCTCAGTACTACACCTTGCCCATTACCGTACCTTCGATCCTTACAAAAAATGCATTGCAGTAAACAAGCTAAAAAGCACCTTTATTATGAAACGACAAAACCAAAAAAATAAAAGCTGTTTGTTAACATCACGTATCTGTTTCTCTATGGTAGAGAAAAAGGTCTTGAAGTCTGTGTCTTCTTAAGGTACTCCAGCTCAAGGACTAGCAGATGAAGCTGTTTGCCGCCGCAGTTTCCTAACTCCTAATGCAGGACAGCAGAGCTACCGGGACAAGGGTACAGCGTCCCTCTGCGCCTAACCCAGCTCCGCTGGTGGCTCTCCTAAAAGGGACCAGCCTGCACACCGTGCCTCTCCTCTCTGTCCCTGAGCTGTGCTGGTCCGAACCCCCCGCAGACTGCACTGGGCCGGGGCTGCTCCCGGGGCCACTGCAAGAACAACAATCCTCAGGTTAGTTTTCCATCGCCCCAAGAAGCTGCACGGACTTGCTAAGTGGCCACAGTCAACACCAGGGAGGAGAGGGGAGGGAAGAAGAGAGCAGGATTAACAATACCCCTTTGGGAGAAGTCTCCAAGGCAAGCGCAGAGCTGCCACACGGAACGGCCGTGCCCAGAGCAGCCCGAGGGGTACACGGCACAGCCGAACCAGCCTGCAGCGCTGGCCGTGCCGTCCACAGGCTTCCCACAGCACGCCCCCAAGCCTCGCGCAGCACTTTCACTCCAAAACATCACTTAAAAATAAACAGTAAGCGTTCTCCACAGTCAGATCCAGCGAACAGCACACACAGCCGTAGGCTCCACGTACACGCTACCCCGGCGTAAACCCAGCATTCAAACCAGAAAGGGCCCCGACGCGGCTTCCTCCCCAGGCTGTGACCTGGCTCTGGTCTAAAGCACAGGCTCGCACAGATCGCTCAAGTAACAGCATGAAGAGGCAATTCAACACGTAAGAATACAGGTTAATAAAAAAAAGACACTTAGTATTTTAAAGCTAAGGTGCCACACACACAGTCAAAACATCTGTTTTGGTGACAAGTCTGATGTATTTTAGAAAATACAAAAAAAAATGTTTAACCAAATGCAGTATGCAGCAGCACAGAGAAAGTATACTTCAGTCATTCAGACAGCACACGCTACTGAGAAACATAAGCCAAAGAATAATAATTAAAAAAAAAAGTCTGACAAAACTGTGTGAAACATGTAACTACTACAAACATGCGTAGTGCAAAAAAAAAGGTGAGATTTAAAGAGCTAACCTGACTGATTAGGGGAGTGGCTCACCAAGTCCCGAATGGGAGGCATGCCTACAAAAAAAAAAAAAAAAAAAAGGCAAGAAAATTACAGAAGTGTTACTTGAGTAAATGAGCCCATTGAGAAGAGTCCCCAAAGCACTCATTACTTTTAAACCATTTATCAGCACCCCTTTGCAGGAAAGGCTTCTCCTCTGAGCCATGTCTCCATCTCACGGACCCTGCCAGCAACAAGCGAGTCCTGAGCTGCCTCACCCCCGGCGCTGGGCACACTGCGGGGAGGAGATACCCTGACAGCAGAGCCAGCTTTCTACTTGCAGTGCCTAGGTTTAACTATTAGGAGTTTTGCTGCTTTTACTAAATATTTCCACTACTAAATACTTCCACTACGGATTAGTTTTTATACATTCAGCATTTAAGTAACAACTTTAACATGTCCTTAATTTTAGAAGTTTTATTTATATAAAAAAGAGGAAGGATTTATAGTCAGTGAAACCAAAACCAGTTAATTTTTGACTGCACTGAGAATTTCAGAAGTCAGGCTTGAAGCTTAAGTTCATATCGCTTCTTTGAATGGCGTGCCTTCTCCACCTGAAAGCCATTATTTTGCTAGCTGATGTAGCAAACAGAAATAACCAAGTACAGTCCAACTCTGACCGAACCTAACCGTGTGCCTAACAAACTTCCATTTACCAGTCTTTCACAGCTTCCTCCTCCTCAGTGTCCTACAGGCAGCATATGAAATCAAACTTAATGTTTCAAATTCACTAATTTTACAGTTGGAGACCATAACTGTCACATTTAAGGCAATGTTTCCTAAATTAAGTCAAACTCCATCATTACTAACTGCAAATCCCACTGCTCGCTTCTTCCCTGACTCCTACAATAACCGAGAAAAAACACTCAAGTTACAGGAAGAATCTTTTTTCCCCAAAAGCTCCAGCTGTAACATAATTTTGCTGCAAGACACACAAGGATAAAGCGAGACCCAGTCATGTCAGAGGCAGAATCCAACTAACTGGACCAGCTCCAGGAGCCCGATGGTGCTCTCCTGTCCCACAGTTGTAAGCAATTACTGATGGCAAATATTTTAGTTCACTACATAAATCATTTCACTGTGGAATAACCACCACCTATTCTGATGTGTTACAACGCATAGACGCAAACAAACATCCCAAGGCAGCGTCCAACACCTTCCTCTCATGTAAAGTTTACACATGGGGCAAAATTTCAGTTAAACAATTGAACTGGGTATGAAAATGTTCTGATAAAGAGCTACCTATGTAGATTTCTTAAAACAACCATCTTGGTACAAGACTGTACCTGTTTCAGAAGTACTACATGGCATGAGCTTCACTTACATGTCTGTATTAAAAATATATGCCAAATGTCCTAAAAACAGCAAGAAAAAAACCAACCCACAGGACTATCCCTTCTTAAGCTTTACTTCTAAACAAAGCAGGTTAATTTTCAAAAAAAGAGATGATCGTCCATGCAAAACAAAAGTAAAGAGGTTTGGGTTTTTTTAACCATTGATATAATTTAAAAATTCTCCAATACCAAAGGCTTAAAAACTTACTGTGGCCAAAGGAAGACTTCAAATGTAACAGTACTTGTGGTCTCCGGATTCTACAGAGCACCTAGCAAGGAATTAACACCACAGCTGGACTGGGGAGAGAGCCCACCTGGGTCTGTCAGGGAATGACAGATAAAACAACTCGAGACATTACCAATTTTGACTTCAACATGTCAAGCTACAGTTTTTCTTTTAGCCCTAAAATACAGATTGATCTCAACATCTATTAAATAATACTTAAAACTTAATCTTCAAAGATATTTATTATGGGATAAAATTTGTTATTCTGTACACGGACATTCT